ATATATTATACAACACAATATATTATACAACGCAATATATTATACAACACAATATATTATACAGCGTAATATATTGCGCAACGTAAGGTGCAATGGCAGTAAAAAAGAAGCAATTTTTGATAGAACTTTCAGAGCCACCAAGTAAGCCATTAAGAGTTTAAGAGGAAAAAATGGTTTCGAGTTACCATTGCAGTGCATTGTGGGACTGTTTAGGGGACGGCTTACTCTCCATCTTGGAAATATGTCCTAAAACGGCCCCACAATACACTCCACCCAGTTTTTTCTAAACCAAGGAATGTCTAATACTCCATTCTTACCTTTCCCACTTTCAACCCATCCATGATCAAGACTTCAGTGGGTATAGGAGAAACTGTGGACGGTAACCCTGTGGTGCCCAGATCTTCAGGAGGAGGAACTTCAACATCTTGTTGAGCTTCTCTTAATGCACCCTCTGTGGTTACAGATGCTTCAAACGTCACCGCACCCCCCTGTTTATCACTGGAGGGTTTGTCATCTCCTTCAACATCTTGAGCTGTGGAGTATTTGAAGTTTATTTTTCTTTGTGACAATGTTTCTTTATTATGAAATATTTCAGACATTACGCGCGCATTGATTGGTCTTTTATCATCTTTTTGTATCAGAAAATAGAGACATGCGTTCGCAAATCTTTAATAGATATTTTAAAAATATTTTAATTTTGATCGATTAGTTTTAGATCGGTCGATCAGTTGGTCAGTCTGTCAGTCCGTCCGTCCGTCCGTCCGTCCGTCCTTGTATTTGTATCTGAGTCTGTCAGTCAATCGTTCCACAGTCAACGAGTCCTTTTAACAAAATACCCAAGTTAAGAGTTACATGGTGACGCGAATATGAAGCCAAATGAAAATCAACCAATCACAAACCTTTCTCTGACACCACAGTATTTCCTGACCCGTCTATGTTCCCGCCGATTCCGTCTGTTTTCTGTTGCTCACTTTCAGCATCCACTTCTGCAGCTTGCTCCTCGGTTATTGTCTGTCAAAGCCAAAATAAATCGATAAAGGCTCGGATCAAAGTAATAGGTTAAAAGAAACCTTATAGGAAGGTAATCGATTTGGTATCGGAAAATGAACTAACCATTCCTCCGATGCTTGAGATATCTGATATTGCATCTGAACGGTCCAAACCTATGGAAACCAAAAAAATATGGCTTTATCACTGTTTGAGTGTCCTCGATGCGCGAAATTTTGAAGAGATTTTGGGTGCGTGCGATGAACGTTTGGATGGCGAAGGGACAGAGAATCAAGGGTGGTGTTTGATTCGTGGACTGTTTATCATTTACCCGGAAAAACCAGAAATTCCGGTTGGAAAACAAATGGTATGTGTCAGTCCAAACGGAAAGTTCCGTGGAAAACTCGGTCTCCTGATCTACTTTTCCCGCTCTTTTCGGTTCTTCTGGTAGACGCGTGTACCATTTGTCAGAAGTAATCTACTTTTCCCGCTCTTTTCGTTTCTTCTGGTAGACGCGTGTACCATTTGTCGGAAGTCAAAGTTTCCCGCTCTTTTCGGTTCTTCTGGTAGACGCGTGTACCATTTGTCGGAAGTCAAAGTTTCCCGCTCTTTTCG